TATACACAATATATAATATATATATATATATATATATATATGTGTATATGTATATATATATATATGTATATATGGATTATATATGTACAAGTATATATGCATATAAATTAATATATAGAAATAGACTTATATAATATATATATATATATATATATATAAATGTGATCTTTTTTTTATCGTTTTTATAGAGAATACAGTACGCTAAAACCGACAGTGATATAATTGCCAAAATGAAAGGTACCTTTGCAGAACGTCCCAAGAAACCAAAACGAGTTATTCCTGTCGCAGATGAAGAAGCCAAACGTGCCAAAAAACGTGCAAAAGAGCAAGCTAAGCATTCACAACAAGTTGGTTATCATGCTAGTATACCTCAACATCCAGGACTTGTTAATACTGCTGTTCCTGAACAGCCACCTAATCAAATATTGTTCTTAACAAATCTACCTGATGAGACAAGTGAAATGATGTTATCAATGCTGTTTAATCAATTCCCGGGTTTCAAAGAGGTACGGTTAGTACCTAACCGACACGATATCGCATTTGTTGAATTCGAAAACGAAGTTCAATCCGGGGCTGCAAAAGATGCTCTTCAAGGTTTCAAAATTACTCCTTCGCATGCAATGAAAATATCATTTGCAAAGAAATAAATTATAGATTTTGTATTGTTTATACTATAATAAAATATAAATAATGTAATAACTACTTATATCTAGCATTATTTTGTGGAGTTCATAGTGGAGTTCATAAACACAATATAATGTGATAATTCAATGTGTTTTATTGTATTATTGCATATATTCTGCGTGACAAGTTATGCTATAATTGAGATATTTCAAATATTTTAAAAATACATGTAAAAAATTATACAATTGATTTGAAAATTTTGTATTCGAATATTTTATGCAAAAATATATATAAAACAATAAAATATAAGATCAATACTTTTTGACACTTCTATTTATTGCATTGCATTGAAATATATATCTCCAATAATTTGATTTTATGGATTTGTGAAATTATCTATTTTATATATTCATGAAATATTTGTAAACTATCATTTTCTATTTTATACACTATTATGTTTTGTATATATCAAAGGATTGAGATATAAAATTGTTCCCAGTAGGTTTTTTTTTTTTAAGTAATAGATTGATAATTATACTTTCATAAATAAGTACTTTTCTTTTCTACACACGCATGCATGTACACGTATACATATATATAAAATAATATCGTTATTTTACTAAAAATTAATTAATATTAATTTTTCACAAAATCTTTTTCTTTCTTGTATTCTTTCTATGAAATTATAAGTCAGTTTTGATATCAATCTTGAAATCTGCAGAAATGATAAAATGGTTTATTCTCTGATAGGAAAAATCTACTTATATAAAATTCTGTACCAAATAAAGTAGAATTTTTGTATCACAACTTTAGGAATAGTAAGGAATAATAATGGATAAACTTATTTTTTTTTATCTTTTTCAAAATAACAATGTTGTGTAAATATTCCTTTTTTACTAACATTAATAAATAAATATTGAAAACTTATGTTAATATATAAACATATTATTTAGCTGTGTTTGAAGAATATAATGTAAGAATTTATGTACAAAATAAA